AGTGGCATTTTACGAGATTCCGAGCTCTACTGTCTGGAATGTTGATTTTTTTTTAGCTGGATGTTTCTATGTTTCACTGCAGGTCTGCTGTTCTGGTTCTTGGTGCCAGTTTCATCAGAAACAAATGGAACCAGAGGGGCACCGCTGGTCCTTCAGTGCCATCACAACCTCAGCGAAAAGTTTATTCCTGAGAAAATCTCCATATACTGGCAAAGTAATTCCAGCGTTCTTCATGTTTTTTCAAAAGGACAAGAGGAATTTCTACACCAAAGTGAGTCATTTAAAAACAGGACTGCAATTTTCCGCCATCAACTGGCCTCTGGCAACTTCTCCCTTGTCATCAATCCGCTGATGCTGAAAGACGATCAGCTCAGCATCGAAGTTGCTTACATACCAGAAAGCAGGACGCTGTGCCAAACCACTGTTCATGTAGCAGGTATAGTTCACCTTAATTAACATGGATGCAAATATCAGTATTTGTTAAATATATGAAATGCAAACTGTATGTCCAATGGGATTGAAGAGATGAAACCCTTCAGGCAGTGTTCAGGCACATATCTTAAGGATAATAAAACAGGTGGCTCGTGATGATTATTTCGAGTGCTGCATGTATTTCTTCACTGAGTTGAGTGATGATTGAGGGATAAAACTCGTGACTAGTTTATGTTGTTGTTAATTTGTACAACAATGATCTCTGATTAGTTAAAATTTGTATGAAAATTCTAACATTTATACATGTGAAAAATCTCTGACTCTTTTCCAGCTCGTTTTGAGATGCCAAATATCGTGGTCAACACCATAGATATGATGGCTATGTGTGCAACAAAGGGGGGCTTTCCTGAACCAGAGCTATCATGGATCTCCGTGGACCATGAGGGACATGAACGTACACTTGAACCACCTGATGTCCAGACCCTTGAGATCTACAAGGAAGATGACGGCACCTACAGAGTTACCAGCACTGCCAACATCAGAGGATCACAGGAAGTTATCTGCAGCATTTACAACCCAACTTCAAAGGAGACGTTGAGTGTAATTAAAGACGTAATTACAGGTACTCCAAGGATCATTTTTGCTTTTCAGTCTGAAGTTGACTTTTCAAATATATTCAGAATCCATATCCATAGGTTTGAAATAGACATGTAAACCACTGTGTTTATTAATCAACCAACAATGACAAAAGCATAGAATAACTTGAGGTTCAACCCTAAGTCTTAAGTCACAGTTTATCTTAAACACAGAGAAAAACACATATATATAAATTTGCTGTAAATTTAAAAACGCACTGTGAAATTTGAAACTGCCGGAATTACATACATCTCATCCCAGTTTAACATCAATTGTAGGTCTGTTTCCCTGTAATTTCATGTCATCGAGCCAAAAGCCTTGACAAGCCTGGAAAATAACCTAATTCTCCATTGCAGACTTAATAGTAGCAAATCTTTTATAGATACAATTTGAGTGAATGAATTCATAATTATATTAACACTAATCTCTTCAAACCAGAGAAGATCTTAAAGTAACTTTTTGAAAAAAGTGTGGCCCCCAACAATCCTGATTTGAATTACAGCAGCTTACAACGTTACCATTTTCATGCAAGAGAATTCAAGATGCACATCAATTCCCATCAGTTCGTAAATGGTAAATGGCCTGCATTTGTATAGCGCTTTTCTAGTCCTTAAGGACCCCAAAGCGCTTTACACTACATTCAGTCATTCAC